GGGGTGTGTTGATAGAGTTAGGACCTAAAGCGTGTCGGATGCGTTTAACGAGAGTTCAAGCTTTGCATGGTTAGTTGTTGTGGGAAGCACTACCGGACACCCCCACAGCATTCTGGAAACCAGGCGTTCCTAATAAAGATTTACATCTCGCAGTCAGCAAGGTTAAATCTCAAGATATTTATGCCCGTCGGAACTGGAGTAGACCCCGCATCAGAGGGTGGGGATCAGGGCTTTGATGGCAGCCGTTGGGTGCGGCGGGGGTCTCTCCACCTTTAGATGCCGAGATCTTTCCCGAAACCGAGATTCAAGAACTCTGAGTTTCTGGAGCGAGCTGAATATCCAAAGATCTCTCATTCCCGTTGCCGAGATCCAGAAAGAAGCTTGTGCCAAGTTCGGTATCGCCGTTGCCCGTAGCGGTTCTGTATGCGCGCTGTGAAATGTTGAAGGGGCTGCTATGGTTTGGTGATTGTAACACCTGCGATCGGTTCTCACCATCTCTTATATCCGCCATCCGTCGAAATATCCCAGGGTGCCGCTACACCGACCCGCATTCGCACTAAAGGTTCTCAGCATTGTGATTCGTGTGGGCTTCTAGAGTCTTGCGCCGTGGGTGGAATTCACTTTTTCAGGGAATCAGAAGCTTGAAGGACTCGTCCTGAGCGCCTACTGTAGCTGCACGTTCCCAACGTCTCGATTATATGTTCCGCACCTCCAGAGTCATCTGACATGCCGTGTCCCTCGGGGTTGCTTCACTTGGATAAGCTTCGTTTCGAACCGCACATCCGCCCTCAAAAATATGCAGAGGAAGGGGAAGGCGGGAGCCCTCCCCCTCCTCCCATAAAGTACATATTTTGACTATGACTAGTGCAGACACCCTCAACATCTCTATATTTATGACTTCTTTGGACAAACAGTGTCACTACATCCCTGGACCCCGCTTCCTGTTGCTCACTGAAACCGAGTGATGCCTCATGCACCAGAAACTTACCTTCACAGGGATCCCGATACCCCCTTAGAGTCTACACTCCTCGAGTAGACATTAGCCATCGGCACCGTCAGATAGTGCTTCCGGGCAGCGCCGTAATCCGCGGGAGCTGAGCTTTCTTGGTTGGATCGTATCGAATCCGGTTCTAGTGCTAAGTGCAAATGTCCAACAAATGAATGTATGAACGGGCTAGATTGAGGGGAAGGTGGGCTCTGCGCTGTGATGTGTCACTGATAGCTCGCCGTATTAGACAATTTTCATTCCGCGGATCCCTGTTTTCGCTTTTCATATGAATTCGAAAATTCAACCTTACCCGGTCGGATTTACTCCCTTCCAGCACTTCCACCGGAAGGCTCGATTAGGGGAGACTCCAGCGGTGTTGGTTAGCAATGGAGAGGGTTGCTCCGGACTGGATTTCTGATTTGTTGACTCGCGGAAGACGGGCCATGGCGGTCGAGTCTTTGCATCGACGATGGGCAAAAATAGTGCACTCGACGAGGGTGCGACATGATATATCAAAGGTGATGGACGACCGTGGCTGGCCGGGCACGTAGAAAGCTTGGTAGGATACCGTACCGGTATCTGCTCCGGTCACCTTCAATTTGGGCTTCGGCGGTGTCAAGTTGGCGGGTGAGGGTGTGAGATTCACAGTAGAGAATGCATGGTCTACTCAGTATTTCCCACCAGAAAGTGTATTTATTGGTTCCGCATCGTTCACAATGATCAATAAGATCTGACGGAATCTTGGTATTCCAAGTATATGGTACGCTAATGACTCTGATAAGCTTTCTCCGCTAATCGCCAGCCTCCACGGGCAGTGTCTTTTCGTGCAAGAATTCGAGGGACCCGCTCAATCAACGCACACCACCGACTATCTTTTTTGTTTTTATTTCTTGCTAGCTTCATGATGTGTTGATTGCACTCGAGCCTGGCGTTAGGCAAGGAAGGTGACAGGTACAAGTGCATCTCTCTAAACGCTCCACCCTCTCAGCTGCTCAGCTGAACACCGGGTGATTGCCATTTATCACACGTACCTTTTGCCAGGTACGGTGAAACACAGGACACGGCTGAATGACGCCGGGACCTGCGACGATGGTAGCTTCTCACCTGGAATGCCCAAGAACCAGCCAGGCACAAGTTGTTCTGTTCTCCAATGCAACACGGAGAACGTCTCGAATCCACACGGGATTCGAGAGGTCCATTAGAGCAAACCCCGTAGGGCGGGGTGCGGGACCCCCACTGTTACCAGTAGCGCGGAACTAGTCGCCCATGTGATAGCCTGCTTGCTGCGACCCCATGGCACCATAGATATCGTCGTTTGGGCTCATAATTGATCACTCGGGGGATAGCCAAGTCTGGGCCGTCATGATGGATGCGGTGGCATGAAGTATTTCAAGAGATGCATCGCCGTGTCGCAGGTTATCCATGGGCCATACGCCGTCTTGGTAATCGATAACAGTCAAATATACAACGCCATCGCTCTGCACGTTACTGCAACATCGCTTAGGGTGAGCTCGACAACCGGAGCACAATACGTGTGGAGGCATTCAGCCGGGGGGGGGGGGTGGAAAATAGTTTTTTTCAAATGGATCCACGGGGCTTGTATGCGGAAAGGAGTCGCACACACAGAAAAGGTTCCTCGATCAACTACCGTAGCGGAGAGGGGAAGGAGAAGAAGAAAAGAAGGATGCATCAATGCTCGCCAGTGCTGGGGCTGAGTAAGTAAGCGCATGCCGTGGGCTGGGGCAGCAGTTCGAACTTCAAAGGACTGAAGGGTTACGGGTTCACATTGCGACGTTGCACAGGAAGGAATCTATATTTAGCCAACACTGCCCCCAAAGGACGAAAGGACCGTTCCGTGAACCCTCCCACCCACGAGAACCGACTATCATAGCGTGGCCACTATTATTGGAAGTGTCAAGAGGAGGAGGGAAAAGGGGAAAGGAAGGACCATCACCGTTGTACCATCTCATAGCACGGTGTACAACGGGAAGGGCCCAGACGGGAAGAGATAGGCCAAGCACGGTGTTGTGAACTGTACTGTACCTCGTACGGTACTAGGGGGATTCAAAGCTCTCGGTACACGGACGGTACAGGTGTTTCGGTACACCGCAAACCTCCTCAGGAGGAGGGATGCAGCATACCGGTACAGAGGTAGACTACAGTCACCCCATCTGTCCATCCCCTTCTAAACTCACACTTTACTTAATCTGTCACACCAGCAACATGTACTAGTACAGTACCAGTTCACGGTGTACCGAGAGCTTTGAATCCCCCTACTGTACCGGTACTCGAGTACTCGGGTATCATGGTCTGGACGGTGAAAGGAATGCTGGGGTTCAAGGTGGTTGCAACAGAACTGGTCCGACAATTGTGATAGGATGATAGCGTATCATAAAAAAGGATTGGCACGGGTATGATACGGTACGAGTACAGTTTGGGTGCAGGGTGCGGGGCCTCAACAGCGCATGATGCTACAGGCCCCGGCATGCCGCCTGACTGGAGGAGAAAGTTCCCCAGCAGGCAGTCGACTCGATCACCCACTCACTCACTCACTGTATCACATCGTTTTTGCCATACCCATACCTTATTCGCTCCCAGCATAGCATCTAGCTGTTTTCCTTGGCCTACCTGTAGAGTACAGTACTCGTACCGTGCTCGAGCACCTGGTACAGCACGGCACTCGAGCACCTGCACCCCAGAGTGTTGGCCAGTTCTTTCGTCCCCGTCTGACATGATCCTCCCACCGCCCTCCCGGAGAAACATGATTCAGCACAACTCTAGTTAGCCTCCGTGATCACTTGTTCTCCTGAGAGCGGACAGGGCGAGAAATCTGGAAGAAAAAGGTGAAGAGGGGCAGGAGGATACCTCTGCCGCAGTGTTTGCAGCATTTCCAGGCATCGATTCGCTTCATCTCCCTCTTCCTCTGTCACCGTCTTTGTCCTCTTTCCTCTCCTCCGTGTCGGAAGTTCAGCGGAATAAGCGGAGGTTGATCGGCTAATTATAAAAAAAAAGAAAAAAGAAAAAAAAAGAGGAAAGAGGCAACGTCTTTTTTTTTTCCTCCCTCTCCGCCCGCCCGGTTTGCTTCTCACCGTTCTCTTGTTCGACTTCCAATCCTTGCCCCTACAGCACCTCGCGACACGCGACGGAACTGGCCATCGACCAATCACGGTGGGAACCCTCTCATCACGCTTTTTTCCCCTCTGGTTTTGTTTCCCTCCCCTTCTCCTTCTTCCCGCGAAGGGCGTTTGTTTTCGTGTTGATCGAGGGGCGTCCTGACTGATTGGAAGAGGGAAGGGTGACTTAATTCCCATCCATGAGCAAAAGGCGTACCGGGAATCGGAAGCATTGATTCGTCGGACCCATCAGTCTAGGGTTTGAGACAACTTGGCCAAGCGGTACCAGCACAGCCTCCGGCCGCTGCGCTTCCCTCCTGCAGAGCACTGGTGAGGAAGGAATAAACCCCCATCGACAATCACCGCTGTGTCCGACATCGCATCTGTCTTTTTTTCCCTTTTCCCCTTGGACCCGACAATACCACCAAAGGTACTAGGCGTGCAATCCCTCGCTACCGCTTCCGTTGATTGCCCTGGTCTATCCCTTCAGGGCTGAAGTGAGGGAGGGAAGGAAGTGAAGGCACTATTTTTAGTGGGGGGGAGGGGTGGAAAGGTGAGCTAGCTTGTGGGGGGGGGGTTCCATTGAGACCGCTCCTTTCTATGTCACCATACTCCAGATCGAAGGAGAGCTCTCGGGAATAGACTGACGAATCCGCCTTTGCCCTCGTTATCCTTTTTACACTTCAGGTACAGTGCAGGGAAACGTTGTCACGATGTCGACGGAATCGTCGTCGCCGTCGTCGTCGCTGCCGTCGTCGCACTCCGATGCCTTCTCTACAAGATCGATGGAAAGTTCACTTTCCTCTTTCTCCGCTCCTATTCTGCGTAAACCACGACCACCTGGTCCATCATCCTTACACCGCTCCTCTTCTCCTTGGCCCTCCGGCTCCTACTCGCCCATGTTACTACTCTTTACCGCCCTTGCCCTGTTTGCGGGCTCGGCACGTTCCGTGTTGATCAGTACTTTTGATAATTGTTTGAGTGATGATGTAGTACGCTCACCAACCCGTTTACAATTCCATCCGCTGGTGGTTGCAGCTGCATTCGGTGTCAAACGCCCGGACTATTTACAGATTACCGTCTGGGGCAACGTTACGGGGGTGAGTTCCTCGGATCCCGGGTGGAGGCAGCGGAGGGATTTGCGTGGGAGTAATGGGGGTTTCCGGCCCGAGGTGGGCGATTGGGGGAGGGAGGGTCATGAGGGGTGGTCTTGGTTAGAGGCACGGCAGGAAGCTACCAATACTCAGAACTCGAACGAAAGTGTCTTCACCGACAAGCCGGGGACTTTGAATTGGGGCCTAGCCAACTTTCGAAATCCTACATTTGACAATGGTGTTCCGTACAACCTTTCAGGTTCCATCGAGCACTCGGAAAAATCTTGGCCGAAGGTTACAACTCTCGACCCCAGGGTTCAGATAGCATCGTTTGACACGCCGGTTGATGCACTCCCCTTTTGCCAAGGTCATCCCATTGATGGCAATGGAAGCGCGTTTTGTCCTATGGGTCCAGCCAGGAATATGTCCAAGAGCGACGCGCATAATTTGACTGTCTTGATTAAGGAGCTTCCCTCGTTCACTTGGGAGCACAATTTCACTTCTGGGTACAGCTTCGCTAGCATCAGCACGACATTTACTATCATGGCGGGGGACAATGACAAGACCGTGATTGGCTGCATTCATGTTGAGACCACCCCGATGTTGGGAAAGTCAAATGATGGGGCTTTGACATGGGTTCCCGCAGGAATACTGGCTTTGGTTGCTCTGGGGACTGTTCTTGCGGCTATGTTAAATCCCTGGGTTGGAACTACCGATATCTTTAGGTGGAGCAGCAACTATGGAATGGATGAGGATATGATACGATTGGTCACCCCCGGATTTGCCGATTGTCTCCAGTGGCTACAGTTTTTCGTTCTTACCGGGAGTTTATCGCTTAGTTATCCTGGCTTTTATCAGCCTGTTGTTTCAAGAGTCGCTTGGAGTGCTTTGCTCTTCAATACCAGCTTCTTCTCTCACAACCCCGTCAGTCGGCAGAGATGGGCTGGCGATGGTCTTTATGCTTTGGATGCCACCGCATATGGATTCGAGAGGGTAGCTCAAGCTGTTGGATTGCAGACGGTCGATGATATCTGGGTGTGTGTTATGGCATTCTTTGGCGTTGTGGCGGTGGGAACGGTTGTCATGCCTCAGGTATGGTTTGCTGGGAAGTGGATTGTACGAAGGGCTACGGGGCGTGAGGAAGGCGATTTGACGAACAAGAACTTGCCATTCACTTTTGGTATGCGGATTGATGGGGGGAGTCGTGGTGCGTGGAATGCTAATTATAATTTCTCTGCACTAGGGATGCTGAACCGTATCACATATACATACTTCCTCGCCCCGATTCTGGCTGCTTCCACTTTTGTACTCACCACTCCTGGACGTGGTAGTAATACCATCGTTGCCCTTGCTGCGGCCCTGGTGTTTGTTATTATCGCAATCGCTGTCTTGCTCACCATTCGAATCTGGAGTCACAAGCCCCGGTCTACGTTGTTTGATAATCTCCCTACTCTGCTCACCTTCGGGACATTCTATAACACCTATCGGGAAAAGAATCTCAAGTTCTTCATTGTTCAACTGTTCGTCAACATTAGCCGTGCGATTGCTTTCGGAGCACTTCAACCAAGCGGGATTGCTCAGATTACCATCCTGGCCATTTGTGAGATCGTCCTGATCCTCACGGTATGCGGAATCAAACCCTATGCGCCAGCAACATCGATGAATGCTTGGCAAACAATTTTTGCCGTCGTTCGACTACTGACCATCTTGCTCATGATGGCCTTTGTGCCTAGTATGGACGCCCAAGACGCGGCAAAGAGTTGGATAGGATATGTTATTCTTGTGATACACGCCATGGTTCTCATATTCGGCTTCTTTTTCATGGCCGTACAAACATTGTTGGAGTTGTTTATTCGGGGATGCGGTGGTGCTGATGAGGGAGAGGCAGCCAGAGGAGGACTTGCTAAAGTAAGTGTCAAGAAGTTTTACACTCGTTTTCCCAACGCGCCTGGCTGTGATAAGGTGATTCTCGATTATGCGGAGCCCGCTCCAATCCAACTGTATTCACTGCCGAATACGCGATTGGATCTGGAGGTATGAGGGTATCCAACAGTGGGCGGCAGATTTGTCTGATATTACTTACTGTACAGAAAGTTATGAGTGACTCGGGGGATTGGACAAAGTCCTGATCTTCATGTTTATAGCCATCGCCACGCACTGTTTTCCTGTTTTATGATTACTTTTTTGTTGGTGAGCGATATACTAAGAGTATTGTTTGCATCAAGGTCTTCGGAATGCGTCAACTTTCTCGTCGTAAACATAAGCAACATCGCGGCTCGGTCAATCCCAGCATCATCAATGTATCAACACACGACGAGCATAAAATGCCATCCACCACCAACAGTAGGCCGATCGGAGTTGGTCCCCGTTCGCGCTCCGGAAGTTCAGCTATACTGCTCGGGGGACAAGGGGTGCAAACGGGAGCAACCGGAATGATGGACGTTGGCAATCAGACCAATCATCACCACTCTGGAAGCGGAAGTACCGGATTTACCCCCACAACACCCGGAGCCGCTAGTAACTTTTCCTATATCGGTGGTGCTACTGCTGCGGGGCCTCTACTGATGTTGGATACTGGTGTCCCCGCTGCGGCGGGTCCATATTATCGGCCACCGAGAGCCAAGGGAGGGACGTATGGTCCAAGAAACCCGGGTGGGGGTAGTGGGAGTGATAATTATTCACCCGGGACAAGGAGTGGAGGGAGTTGGGGCAGTGGGCCGTGGGCGCCGGCGGATGCGACGGGGGCGCAGAGGAGTTCCCAAGGTAGTTTACCAAACGGACCCGACGATTTGTGGAACCAGGGGCCAGGACCTGCTTCTGGGACAAGATCCCCACGGGGTGCGGCTGAAATTTCCCAAGGAGGAGTGCTGGAGCCATTGGCCCACAGACATACGGATAGTTCAGTCACGGCCGGGAGCGTGAGGAACACCGCGCCAACGGATTACACGACACGGGAGGTGGACTATTACTACGGAGTGCGTGGGCCAGCCCTCAACCATCAGCCCGGTCGACGATTAGGTACAGGGCCGGCAGATCCTACCGGGCCCGTCGCAGTGACAAAAGGTTGGCTCTGGAAAAGCCTAGGTTGGGGGTTTCGGGGAAAGAAAGAAACTGGTTTCACTGTCGTCCGCAGCAGCCGTGCGCCAGAAGAACTGCTAGATGCCGAGCGAGAGGCAAAGGGCATAGGTATGGCCGTCACAAGCCAAACCCCACCTGTACCCGACCAGAGCGGCAGCAGCGACAGCGAAGATGACACCGGCGACGAAGAAGAGGCTGGCAAGCGCTCTGGGCGACGGAGGCGGGGAGGGAAAAATTCATCGCCAATGAGCCACTTGACCGGGCGTTCGAACGGCCGCCGGAAAAGCCTATCGCTGATCAGTCAGAACACGGACTCGGATTCAGACGGTGGGGACGGGGGTGAAGCCGCGGGGCCCAGCTCAAGAATGTTAGACAAGAAACCGGCGGCAGCCTATGACGGGTCTAACAACATCGGGCTCCGGCACCAGGACAGTGTCAAGCCTCAGGTTCCGAGAAAGTCGTCCAAGAGAAAATCGGTGTCTTATTCAACATCCATGAACCCGAACCCACCGGTTAATAGCCCACTGCAGCAACCGTTGCAGCAGCAGCAGCAACAGCCATTACGGTCGACTAGTCCTCCCGATAGCCCAATCCAATCACGCCTTCCGCACCAACCTTACGACCCTCCGCCACTGCGCCCATCGCTGCACCCTCGTCACCCGCAATACGATACAAGGAACTTGACCCCTGCCCATCACAACAGTAACACTTCTGGTCGCCTTCCTTTCACCACCGCCTCCTCCGCACACGAGGGTCAGGAAAGTACGCACACAAGAAGTATCAGCACGAGTAGCAGCCTACTCCCACCTCCACCGGAGATCATGGCCGATGATAACGCGTTAAGTCGCCCGCCATCGGTGGGCACTGTGCATCGATATAGGATGGAGGATTCATTGAGGAACTCGGACGTGGCTGAGGGGGGGAGGAGTGGAAGTTTGGTATCTGAGGGGGGCGGAGGTGGGGGTGGATGGCGGTGATTGATCAATTCCACTTTTTCCTTCGCTTTCTCGTGTTAGTTGGACAGGTAATAAATAATAGGGATTGTATGGATATATTCTTTACTGCACCTTTAGCTCTTTTCTCCACCCTCCTATTCCCTCCTGTCCTTTGTTTTGTCCGCCATTACTTTTCCTTTTCTCTTGTTTTCTTTCATTTTTCTGCTTTACTGTTCTGACACAAACTGGCCATGCACACTTTTTTTCCTCTGCCTTTCAAACTTCTTTACCTGGCAAATGTGGGAGTACGGGTTTTTCTTTATCTTAACGTGGCTTGATTATTGGTTGGCTGGCGGATGGGTCAGTGGGTGGGTATATTAGCTGGACGCGCATGCTCTAGGTCGGATAGGGCGGTTGGTGTATATAAGTGTAGGGAATATATATGGATTGGTTTTTTTATCGTTTATCATTTTTTTCATTTGTGATTAGGTGTAGTCATCTGTCACTCGCGGCCATTATGGGGGACGTGTGCTGGAGTGGTTCCTCAGGAAAATTTGGTAGTATTACCGCATTAACTGGTGAGGACCGCCCGGCACTAGTACATTGACTTAGATTGTAGCCCTGTTCCGAAATTACCGAGGGGTTAGAGCTAGTTTGAGCGATGTGCAAGATATATCAAAAAGTGGCATTAGAGGGTTTGCCCAGCAGGACCTAGGTGCCAGTTAAATCGATGAATATGTATTCTTCAATTTGTCTTGGCCACCTAGGTCTGGACGGGGACCTGGCCGGAATCTAAAATGTATCTTGAGACACCTGGAGAATTCTGTAGGTAACTAAGATGAAAAAAAAATGAAAAAAAGAAAAGTGAAAAGAGGTGAAGCGCAAAGCTAAAAACAAGGAGAAACAACAACAGAAAAGCCAGCAAATCCAGACAAAATGAACAAGAGCCAACCACCTATTGCGAGTAATTCAATTACAATACCTGATAGTCCTATGCTGCCATCTCCTCCCGTATTAGAAGATCCTTCATGTCCTGTTGGTGGGACACCTGAACAGCGGAGATATTTTGGGCCTGAGAGCTGGCAGAGCTGGACGGGCAGCAAAGTGGGCAGGCTGGATGGACTGTGCCCTTGTCTGCCAGTTGTTAGCAACAGACTTAATTAATTGTGGACAAGGTAGAACAGTTGCAAAATGGGCAGAGGTCTCTGGAGTACTTGCCCAACTGCAGCCGCAGCCAATAATCTGCAGTATGGAGTTGTGACGACCCTACGTTATAGAGCTATGGCAACCTATGTCTATGCGCATACAAAGAACCAAGAGGTCAGATAGTAGACTATGCAGACATGCTGGTACATGACCGAGGGATATCCAATGGTCTGGGTATCCAGAAGAACAGAAGGTACTTAAGGAATCAGGGGACCTAAATAGCAGAAGTAATGTGACCATGTCTGCTTTGGCCTAAGATCAGGTCCGAAGGCTGGGTGAGTTTATCCTGTCTAGGAGTCACGTTACCCTACCATGGAGACCAGTTTCGTGTCACCATAGACATACTTACCCTACCTTTGGGACACTATTACCCTACCTTCCATTGGAAATGTTCTTGGAGGAATTCCAGGAACTATTAGGATTGTTTGTTATGCAATGATGATTGATGGGCACTTGCTTGCACATTGATTGAAAGACTACTGGAGGAGCTATAGTGCTTCGAACATGCTGTAACTTGATAGAATTATTTCCAAGAGGTATCTGCAGCCCCATGTTTTGCCACGGGTGTCATGGGCCACAATGGGTGGAGTTGCCATCTTACTAGTTGAGTAGAGTCTATGAAGAGTTGTTCATAATACTGTATAGGTCACTGCTGTCGGTCCAACCAGAGGCTGTTCGCTGGTTATATAAGGGGGTCAAGGTGAGAAGGTCAGGTACCTTCTCTAAAAGGAATGGAGTAAAGGAGATCAAAACTGATGGAGTTAGTGTGAGCTATCCCGAAGGGTCCCCAGGGTAGTTCTGGGTAGTGCCAAAGACATCTGGGAAGGTTTTATACCAATCAAGCCTACATGTGCCCCTTTGCTGTAGGCTCTTTATGGGTTGTTGGGAGACTCTAATAGCATGATACTTATTATAGTGAGTGGTGTGCTGGGAGTAAGGGACTGCGGGTAGTGCCCATGGGTCTTTGTCACGGCCACCCAGCCATGGAGACGGAATATGCATGGGTTGTTAGTTGCATATATTGGATGTGATCTCCTTGGTTGCATAGTTGGATTTCCTTTGTATAAGTGATTGGAACCCGTTGCCACGCAACGGAATGTGACAGAACAGGACAGAAGGATCGCGGCTGCGCGCAATGCCAAGGACTTTCTTTTGTATTAGTTATCATGGAGGATTTCTTTGATATATAAGGGGGTGTGCCCTCTTATGTTTTACGTTCTTTGGGCAATCTTGTAATCTCCTTTGGACAGCCTTTCTTTCTCGCCCGTGGGCCTGGTCGCCTTCTTTTGCTGAGAGCTTCCCACGGGCATGTCAAGGCTGCGGGGAGGGTTTCATGGGGCGATCCTGTGTTTACCAAGAGAGGAATTTACCCCATATGCTGCCCTGATAACTAACCGACCAGGATGCTACCTACTTTGAATGTAGGCCCCCTGATGTCTTGGTAAGAAGCTTGGGTTATGTATCTTGCTAGCGCTCGGATAGGTCACCTCTCGGCTCCGTGCGGGCTGGCTTTGTACCATGGCGAAGAATGCCTGTGAAGCTCCGGAGTTTGGTTAGTGTGACGGGCAAGGTCTGAGGGTCGGGTAGCCCAAGGCACACTACGATAGTAACAGGCAAGAGTCTGGAGGCGACGTCTAGGAACAGGAGTACAACCAAAGCGAGTTGTACAAGGCACAAGGGCTCAGGGGTTTCAGGGTTAGGGTTTAGAGGTTCAGGAGGACATGAAGTAGAAGAGAGTGTAGTTCCTAGGTACAGGTGTCCGAATAATATCTAAATTTATTTATACT